CACAGAAAGGAGTATCACTGTAGGATTAGTTTATTGTGTTACTATGAAGATTGCAGTTTCCAACAGAAAGAGACAGCCATGCAGTCTGTCACTTTTAATCAGCTGTTACTTCGAATGCACAAAACCCCTACACAGCTTATACAGTCAGAGATGCAATTGCAACATTGTTACAGAAATGGTGTCATTCAAAACTAAACTTTATACACACATTTATAATTCTGCAAAGGCAAAAATGTTCACCTAGCAAAATGCAGATGGTTTTAAAAATGTAAAAGTCTGTCTTAAGTTTATATGAGAGGTTAGCGGAGCAGCCAAAGCACCAAACAACAATAAGAAACGTTTTTATGTTATAAAAAGAACTTTGTTCAGCCCAAATATTTTACATTGTCAGATTGTTTTCATGTTGTTGAAAAGCTGACCTCAGAGCAACAACGCTGCACTGTTCACATTTGTGTTCACATTGTGCTTTTTACTAAATCCAGGGGCAGAAATCAGAGACTTGTCAGCAGCATAAAGCTTAGTCTCATGCAAAACATTTCTGGAAGGATGAAAATATTTAAATATGCACAAACAAATCACAAAACCATGTGATAGTAGGTGATAGTCAATTCACATATTCATGGACCCTCCTTTTGTTGTCTTTGTGTCAAAAGTTAAGTACATTTAGAGGAAATCTAAGCTTACTTGTGTTTGTAAGTCTGTGTACTGGGCACAGACTGATGCCGCTGGATGAAATGGGGTTAGGGTTTCTTATTGTGCTCTTCATCCAACTGCAGTGTGGTGGCATGCTGTTAGCAACTTTTCATCTCTAGTCAACCCGAGGCGTTGGTCTTCCTCTTTAAGAATGGTATTCATAGAGCTAACAAAGCTAGATTTATTTTAAATGTGTCAAACTGTTTTAGCTGTGCCTTTTCATTTAAGAAGGAATAGTCCAGTCTCTCATACCAGGACCATTACCCCTGCTTTCCACAGGAGCCGTCAGCAGCGCGAGTCGGCCGCGTCTCAGGAGCAGCATGTCGCGGCCTTTACGTGCCGGTTCTATTTTCTACGCGCGACGCCTCTGAAACGGATCAAGTTCGACATTTTTGGGGAAGGAAAGACAGGAAATCGTTCGCGGAAATGGAGAGAAGCTCCCGGGATTTTCAGAATAAAGAAACGTACTGCCTTCCGGTTGCTTTACTTTTAAAAAATGTTACTAACTGTGCGGCCCCGTGAGAAGTTATCACCTAGCTAGCGGTCTCCTTTGTTTTTCAGGTCCGTATTGGCGATTAAAAAACGGACAGAACATAAAACACAAACCTTTTGGAGCCATGTTGTAGTTTTCTCCTGCTTGTTGTTGTGTTTACTGACGAAGTCACTCGTGTGACTTCGTGCTCGGTCGGTGACAGCTGCTCCCCTGCTGCTTCGCGTCTCGTGGGAAGGGCCAAGCAGCAGTTTACGCGAGCAAGACGTGCTGCTGCAGTAACGTGCTGCTGACGGCTCCTGTGGAAAGCCGGACTTAATCTTTACCCAGCTTCAGGAGAATATATGGTTGGAGCTAGTGCCTCATGGGCCGTGACTGGTGGCAACTAGAGATGCAAGAATTCGAAGAAAACACATTTTTACCAGAGTCACATCAAATTTAAGCTAAAGGCAAATATGCAAAACAGGGCTGGCTCAAAAATTTTTTTTTCATGTCCCTTAACAATGTTCTAGCATAGTATGGCTATTAATGTTTTAAAAGAACAAAATAAATACATAAATAAATAAACACTTATCATGCTTTGGTCCAAAACCAACAATTGGACCAGCCAGTTGTCGGTCTCACCTAACCATCGTACTTCTGCACTTTTCTGGGTGCGATCACACATTTAGCTACAGAACACCACTGGTGTGAGAGGCTCTCTGCTCAGTATCACCACACAGGGAGTGCAGAATTATTAGGAAAATGAGTATTTTGTCCACATCATCCTCTTCATGCGTGTTGTCTTACTCCAAGCTGTATAGGCTCGAAAGCCTTCTACCAATTAAGCATATTAGGTGATGTGCATCTATGTAATGAGAAGGGGTGTGGTCTAATGACATCAACACCCTATATCAGGTGTGCATAATTATTAGGCAACTTCCTTTCCTTTGGCAAAATGGGTCAAAAGAAGGACTTGACAGGCTCAGAAAAATCAAAAATAGTGAGATATCTTGCAGAGGGATGCAGCTGTCTTAAAATTGCAAAGCTTCTGAAGCGTGATCATCGAACAATCAAGCATTTCAATCTAAATAGTCAACAGGGTCGCAAGAAGCGTGTGGACAAACCAAGGCGCTAAATAACTGCCCATGAACTGAGAAAAGTCAAGCGTGCAGCTGCCAAGATGCCACTTGCCACCAGTTTGGCCATATTTCAGAGCTGCAACATCACTGGAGTGCCCAAAAGCACAAGGTGTGCAATACTCAGAGACATGGCCAAGGTAAGAAAGACTGAAAGACGACCACCACTGAACAAGACACACAAGCTGAAACGTCAAGACTGGGCCAAGAAATATCTCTAGACTGATTTTTCTAAGGTTTTATGGACTGATGAAATGAGAGTGAGTCTTGATGGGCCAGATGGATGGGCCCGTGGCTGGATTGGTAAAGGGCAGAGAGCTCCAGTCCGACTCAGACGCCAGCAAGGTGGAGGTAGAGTACTGGTTTGGGCTGGTATCATCAAAGATGAGCTTGTGGGGCCTTTTCGGGTTGAGGATGGAATCAAGCTCAACTCCCAGTCCTACTGCCAGTTTCTGGAAGACACCTTCTTCAAGCAGTGGTACAGGAAGGAGTCTGCATCCTCCAAGAAAAACATGATTTTCATGCAGGACAATGCTCCATCACACGCGTCCAAGTACTCCACAGCGTGGCTGGCAAGAAAGGGTATAAAAGAAGAAAAACTAATGACATGGCCTCCTTGTTCACCTGATCTGAACCCCATTGAGAACCTGTGGTCCATCATCAAATGTGAGATTTACAAGGAGGGAAAACGGTACACCTCTCTGAACAGTGTCTGGGAGGCTGTGGTTGCTGCTGCACGCAATGTTGATGGTGAACAGATCAAAACACTGACAGAATCCATGTATGGTAGGCTTTTGAGTGTCCTTGCAAAGAAAGGTGGCTATATTGGTCAGTGATTTGTTTTTGTATTGTTTTTGAATGTCAGAAATGTATATTTGGGAATGTGGAGATGTTATATTGGTTTCACTGGTAAAAATAAATAATTGAAATGGGTATATATTTGTTTTTTGTTGAGTTGCCTAATAATTATGCACAGTAATAGTCACCTGCACACACAGATATCCCCCTAAAATAGCTAAAACTAAAAACTACTTCCAAAAACATTCAGCTTTGATATTAATGGGTTGTTTGGGTTCATTGAGAACATGGTTGTTGTTCAATCATAAAATTATTCCTCAAAAATACAACTTGCCTAATAATTCTGAACTCCCTGTAGAAGGACAAACAGCTGGCTGCTGCCACCTCATGTTCAGGACAAACTACCAAAGTCCTGGACAACAAGAGACGTTTAGACATAGAAAACTGCGACTGTTTAGCACTCTCCCTTTTCTCCGTGTTGTTGCGTGTTTCTGTATGATTGGGGCGTGGCCTAGGGATAATGGCTGCCGAGAGGGGTGAAAGTTGTGTGACTGTGTATGCGTTTAAAAGCTGGCTTGTTTTGCAGTTTTGTAGACTCATTAAATCTCAGGAATGCTGTTCACAATTTGTCAACAACACCAACAGCTTAAGCTTTGTCTTGGCTACACTCAGACTAGCCTTTAGCTCCCTATCATATACATTAAACCTTTCCTGGATACATTCATGAAATTTTCAATTTCATTCATCTTAAGGTATGAATGAAACAAATTTCAACAAAAAATTTTAGCACTATTTTTTCAAATCATTTATTGTACGTTGACTTCAGTGAACATAAAACATATGCTGCATCTAGAGTCCAATGGGGGGACTCCAATGCAACAAAATCTTCAACAGCTGTGCTTAATAGCAAAAAAAACAAACAAAAAAAAACAATTTTGAGTAGCTGTCCACTGTCGTGACCAAAATGTATGAAATGGTTAACTCTATTTCTCCAAACCGAGGCCATTCAGGGTGAGGTAGGGATTATTTATAGCTTTCACACAAAACACACAACAGAATGGCTATAATATTCCTCTAGGCCATATTTGCAGCAGAATTTGAGCTCTCAGAGTTGCAGTGAGTTTATTTTTACCCTGCTACAAGAAGATAAGATTCTCAGAAATCTAATCCTCAATATTGGCTCCTAGATTCTAATTTTCAAGCATCTGACGACAATCCTCTCCTAGGACTTTTTCGTTCACCTGCGTCAGAGCCCTCTAAATTTGAATCTCAAATTAAATGCAAATGGAAATAGACAAAATACAAATCAGGTGAGAATCAGTCATTGGCTGAAGTGTTTAGAGAAAACACACGCACGCGCGCATGGAGGGATAACCTTCAGGGAGTGTGTCAACGGCAGCTGTTTGAGGAGGGGACCTGAGGTTCAGCAGTGCCAGCGGAGCACTTTCTAATGAATCCAAACACGAGAGAATTAGGGTTGACCGAGTGTGTGAGCACCAATCAAAGATAGCACAGGCTCCTCATTACCCACTCCCGTTTCCCCGCCTCCTTCAGCTCGGCCAAGACAGGCCCAGGCTGCTTGAGATGGTGATTAGGCTCTCTGCTACACCAGAAGCTCTCAGCAGACACAAGCCAAAGACTTCACATAAGCATTCTTATCATTAAACCTCTTACTTCTCATTTTATTCCGTCTTTTACCATTTCTGTTATGAAGTGAAGGTGAAATTACATGAAAGTGAAATTACATTCTATCTTTGTAAGAGAAAAACACACCAGTAGACTGAAACCGTACTAGAGCTAATCCAAGAGAATGCCATTAAGTACATTTTTACCAGTTTTATTTACATTTAACTCATTTTATTGTCTCCATTTTGTTTTTTTTTCTCCCTCATCTCCTCCAGAATGACACGTGGACCGAGCTCTACTCCTTTGCTCTCTTTAAAGCCATGAGCCACATGCTGTGCATCGGATATGGGAGACAGGCCCCAGAGAGCATGTCAGACATCTGGCTGACCATGCTCAGTATGATCGTAGGAGCCACCTGCTACGCCATGTTCATCGGCCACGCAACTGCACTCATTCAGTCGCTTGATTCATCTAGACGGCAATACCAGGAAAAGGTAAGGACGCGGTCCGTCACACAGGCTACCTTTTCAGTGTCCTAGTGGTAGAGTGTCCACCCTGGGATGGGAGATGGGGGTATAAACCCCCCTGGTCATACCAAAGACTTGAAAAAATGGGACCCCAATGCCTTCCTGCTTGACACTTAGCTTTAAGTGGGTGGAATTTGGGATTAAACCACTAAATAGTTCCTGAGCGCAGCCGCAGCTGCAGCTCACCGCTCCCCACGGGGAAGGGTCAAATGCAGAGATATAATTTCACCAGTGTGTGATGGCTAACGGGACTTTAACATTCATCTACTGATGAAACTTACTTAATAAAGTTTTGATAAACGTACCATAAAATGGGAGAGGCGGAGACACGTGTTCCGTCTAGCTTGCTTTGGTAGGGCTGTTGCAGAATCTGATTTTCTCCAGTCGACATATGGGCCATTCCCATCCGTACCGGGTCGGCCCGGGGTGGGTAGCGTAGGTTGTTTACATATCTGGGTGGTCTGGTATTTTTCCGGGTCAACCAAGGCTCATTCTCAGCCCTCTTCTCGAGGGGGTCTGCTTCAGGCCGACCAGGGCCAACACACCCACTGCTGACAGCAAATTCACACCTTCCATTAGAGCAAGCCTCTGATTGGTGGGTAGGATCAGCCCACATGGGCTTAAGACAAGGATGTGTGGAATCAACCGGGCCAGGCTGGGGCCGACTGGGGCCGACTGGGGCTACCCGGCCCGGGCCGACCCGGTACAGATGGGAATGGCCCAATACTTTATGTCATGAACAACAAGATGGACTGTACATCCATCTGGTTACATTTTAGAGTTTACCTCATTCATCGTGGTCATAGAAAACACAGACGTGCAACTTAATCAATTCTATTTGGTGTTATAATAGCAGAAGCATTCACAATACCCACTCAAAGAGCTAAATATGCGGTTAGTGTTTTGCTTCAAGTGTTGCCAAAGGCTATTGGAGTCAACCCTTCCTGTCTTAGCAAAACCACTGGATGGATTTTAAAGGGGTCACATCATGCCAAACCCTCTACTCTCCACTGCCTCCACAAACACTCCTAACTAGGGCCGCACGATTATGGCAAAAATGATGATCACGATTATTTAACACGATTATTCAGTAACTTTGATTGAAGTCATTTATTGAACATAACATTGACTTTTTAACATTTATCATCTGTAGCTTTACAGACATTTAGCAAAACTGACTTTTAATTCTCCCAAACTGAAAGTGTAACTTTGTGTAAAGTGCAACAGCAACTGAAATGTACAAAAACACACTGTATTAAAATAGAATACATATAAAGAACATTTTGCCATGAACTTCCACAACCTACTGAAACTACTTTCAATAGTAAAAAAAAGAAAAGAAACGTAAAAGCTACTTATTTTCAATCATCCTTCATGAATCAAGGTCAAACGTCACACATTATTTTGACTTTAAGTGGTTAAAAAGATTTGTCATTGCTTTGTGGCGCAAGCACGACGGCATGGCAATATTGACATATTATTGGCTGTGTTCGAGATGAGCCAGTTCAGCTCAGATTATATCAGCGGTGATCGGCGAGCGGTGCATGCCGGTTAGATTTGTGTCCGACTTGACGCCGACTTGCTCTGACGTCATGCATACGTAGGCAACAATAACCTCGTGAGATGAAGGTGGCCGTAGATTTTGGAGCAAGGCGCTGCAGTTTTTCTCCCTCGGCTGCTACACCTAGGGGATGACGGGAAACGCCTGGCTCCCACCTGATCTAAGATCTGATTGGTTCACATTTTGATCCAAACATCCGGTGGTAGAACATGAAATGATAGTTGGTCACATGTATTCTGTAAGTCATGTAACGTTGATGATTACAACTATATAGGCCATAAAGAGAAATGTGTTTTGTGTTCTTTTGTCACGTTTCCTATGAGCACACTAAACTTACAGCTGATAACCTTCACTTATTACTACAGTCATGTCTTCATGTACAGTATATGATATCCACAAGCACGTGAGGATGTGTTTCAGCTGCTAACAGGCACCAGAATTAAAATTGAAAATTAAACAAGTGTGAACGCTAACGTGATGTCTTCAGCCATCGTCACCCCCGAGCTACACATGCAGGAAATTGTGTCTGACTTAAACGCCGGCTTTCAGCCACTCCCCCTGCTGCTTCCGTCTGCTCTCGTCTGTTTTCCAGGCGAGGCGCAGCTCAACTCGAACACAGCCATTGTTTGCTGACACACATCTGCTTCCTCAAACCCGAAGTGTTTCCACACCACAGAAGCGATTTTTCCTTTTTTCTCCACCAGCGGTTGTTTTTCTTCGGCCATTATCTCCACCTTATCTTTTATGCGTGACTGCTAACACACTAGCCTTGCTTGAAACTTTAGCAACGCTGCTTAAGACGAGGACACAGGAAGCTGGCTGTGGGGAGAGCAGTCCGACAGAGAGTCTCCCGGGCTCCCGGCGCCGTGTTATGTTGTGCCTCACACAACGTGGCTAATGTGAGAGAGCGTCGTCACAGGCGGCGCTGCGCTGTGCTACACACAAAGTAGCACGGGGGAAACAAATGAACGGAACAAAAAAATCGTATTTTTTTCTTTTCATGATCGTTAAAATCCATATCGTGATTGAGATTAAAATTCAATTAATCGCCCAGCCTTACTCCTAACATGAATAAACTTGTGCATTCATTTTTGGTCAGCATTTGATTTTAGGAGTTATGTGCCTAAAACAAGTCATTATGTTCTTTTGCAGTAGAGCTACATGAGGAGTAGCAGCAACTCTACTCCAAGCCCCTCCCAAAATTCAGAGTTTCTCAGCTTATAGCAGCCTGAGCGGGGGATGGGCGGGCGTGGCTAGCTCCAGTTTGTTATCTTAAAGTGATAGAGCCCTGAAACGGCTCATTCTGGAAGGTACTGAAGAATGAAACAAGGTACTCAAAAATAAAACAGCTGGAATTGCTTTATGGGAGAGGGATTTAGAGCATAGAACTTAAAAAACATGTTTCATATCAAAAAATAATAAATGTCCCCTTTAATAAAAAGCTTGGAAAGCAGTCGTTGGATGTTCATCTACATTTGATTTTTGTTTGGAGCTGAGCCAAGATAATCAAGCTTAGCTGAGCTTCGTTCACAGGAGAAACAAGCTGACGCAGGAATTTTCAACATTAAGTGAGATCATGCATTATGGTATTTCCAACATGATGAGAAATGACCCACACTTGTATAGCGCCTTTCATAGTCACAGAACTCCAAAGTACTTTACGCTACAGTGTATCATTCATCCATTCACACACACACACACACACACACACACACACACACACACACACACACACACACACACACACACACACACACACACACACACACACACACACACACACACACACACACACACACACACACACACACACACACACACACACACGTGTTTTTATGGGTTTGTGTGGACTACGTTTTCTGAGTTGTTTGTGTGGACCCTGACTTCCACTATAGCCAGAATGGTGCAAAAATTATGTTTAACTCTAGGTGGGACAAAGGAAGCTTCCTCTAGGATTTTGGTTGTGTGGACCGGGTAAATGTCCACACAATGGTGAATGTCCACACAATGTTGGTCTCTCGTCAGGGGTTGGTCCACACAAACCCATAAAGACAAGTGCACACACACACACACACACACACACACACACACACACACACACACACACACACACACACACACACACACACACACACACACACACACACACACACACACACACATTAGGTGTCTTGCCCAAGGACACAACAGCTGGTAGCCAGGATCGATCCTACAACCCTCTGATTACTGGACAACCCGCTCTACCTCCTGAGCTACTGCAGCCCCAAGTGATCTTACATTCAAAGTTCAGAGAGGAGGACTTCAATTCTTTGTGGGCCCAGCTGAGGTGTTTTCTAGAAATCTAGATGGACCGTAGCAGAAGCAAAATGATTTTGCTCTTCATGTTGGTCTAGCCATGCTCCCTGAACCTCTGCAGCGACGGCCAGTCTGGTGGCTTACCAATCACAGCACTCTGTTGTTTTGGTGGGAGGGATGTTACTGTGACTGAGCAAAACTAAGATAGGGGCGGCTTGTTTGAAACAGCTTTGGGGTCCATTCTGGACATTTCTTTGAGTCAAGAGCAGATAGAGGTACCATACCTGCGTCCTTTATTTAGAAAAATGATATATTTGCATCTTTTTGATGATCTATGGTGGACTGCCACTGACTGACATCTGTAGGTGAGTACATCATGCTGTTTGTTGTCCAACAGCATTCAGAGACAGATTTAAAGACCACCATAGATCCTTTGAAATGACCGAGAGCCGTCAGTCGGTCGTGGCCAGGCTAATTATTCACATATACAGGATGGCTTGTCAGGCTAGCTGAGGGTATCTTTCTTGATTCAAATGGACTCCAAGGTTCTAAAACCACTTTAGTTTCAGGGCCTAGTTATGTATAGCCCACATAAAAAACCCCACAGTTTTCAGTCAGGGGGTGAACGCGGAGAACTTTTAACTCAATAACTGCCAATGATGACTAAAGTCGTCATTTTAAATCCAACCGTTCACTGCCAATGACTAAAGTCGTCATTTGCATATTTTTACTGTGTGGGCGTCAGAACGAGCCCGCGCACCGTGTGAACAAACATCCCGCGTACGTCACAGGTCACGTGATCAGGAAGCAGAAAATCCATGTGTTAGGAGATCGTTTTGGGCCGCTGCTGTAAAAAAAAAAGCAAGGCGCGAACCGGAAAAGCTTCTGCCAATCACAATTCGACAACATATTATGAAAGAGCAGATAACGCTCGAAACGCGAGGATTCTTCCTGATGTAAGAGGTGAGTCTACGCTTTGTTTTGGTGGTTTTGGTGCTGACATCATCCTAGCGCACAACGTTCTGTGAGTCTTTAAAAAACAGTAAAAACGGTGAAAACCGGTAGCAGAGGAGGGCTTTTTACCGATCAGGAAACGGCTGGCAGCAAATGA